AAAACATGTGATGAGCAAAGAATTAATCAAACATGCATATCACCTTAATCCATACACCATTTGATCATTATCAAAACATGAACAATTCAAGCACCATTCAATCTATGATATGGCCAAATATGATACCAATTTGCATCAATCATGCATTCAATTCTCACATGATTTTTCAAGCAAAATTCATAAGAAAACACATATTTATTACCACTAAACATGCCTCTTTCACATATACAATTTATGCATGGAACAAGCTTAAACACTAACCTTAATCAACATGCAAACATTTGCATTCACAATACAATCCAACCCAAATGCATTTATAATCCATTATATCACATATAACTTCTCAAACATGCATTCAAAGTACATTATGCATCCAAATAATGTTTGGCCGAATTCATCCTTTTCAAAGTCATCAAATTTGCATCAAACATGCTCACATTACACATGCATGTATCATATGAATGAGATATATTCATATTTTAACAAAAATGCATCAAGATGCAATAAATCATACATGCATGTTACATATGACTTCAAAAACAAGAAACTATGTATTCTAAATATCAAAAATTCATAGAAGCATGAATATCACATATCCATCATCATTTGTATTCAAAATACACAATAACTTCAACATGCATCTAAAGCCAAAACATATTCATGTCCAAACCAAGCCATTTTTCACCAAAAATGCGACATGCATGCATGAATTTAAACATGCTCTGATACCATTGTTGGGATTCATGCATTTTGGACATGGAAATGGTGTAAAATGGATGAACAAGATGATGGATGCAAGGTAGAAAACAAACATAACATCAATGATAATTTTTAAAGAAAAAGAATAGTATATTACCTACTCCTTTGCTATTAAATGCTTGATGTTGAAACTTGGAGTCTAGATTCTTCAAAAGAGAATGAAGAAACTCAAAATGTAATCCACCCAAGCCAAAGATGAGAGAGAGCCGAGAGAGTGAGAGATTGCCTTTTGTTTTCAATTGTTGCAAATTGAATGAAAATGGTATAACACTTGGTTTATATACCATGGGCACAAAGTATAATTTTAAATTGTCTTGGAAGGTCCTCAAACAATTTAAAATTAATCTTGGGAAAGAGCATTTATGTCAAGTCTTTGGTTTTATGGTTAATTCATAATTAGCCCAATTTTAATCCTATTAATTATTCTAACTCTTTAGAATAAAACCAATGTACTTTTGCCCCATTATTGAATCCAATTCAATAATAATATTTAATAAATCCTTATTACCCTTGGTTAGTGCTAGTTATCCATGGATAATCATTTCTCATCAATACACTATTTCGAATGCAACTGTTTACGTCCGAACATCATTAATCTGATCAATGATATGTATTACTCTCTCTTCTTGAGCTTGGTTTTATGTGTGACCATTTTGGTTCACTGTGATCTAATCGTGGGCCCAATATCAGATTCTGATATGTTTCACTATAATTCTTTATAATTGAAACTCCCACTGATTATGGTAGACGTCTAGCAACGTTCCATAACCCCTAAACTATAATGAAGTGTAAACTCCAGTGAACATATTCTGATTGTACATACCGTGTAGTAAAATCTCTTTGTTATCTAATCTTAATTAGGAATGGTTCATGGTATGTCAAAACCCTTAATTTAATCTTTAATCGAATTGTCGATCAATACAATGGAACGCATCAACATGAAAACTACTTTTCATCTGACATTCATTATACTCTAGCCAGAGATTTATTTTTTCCATTGTTTATTGATATTCATCTGGGAACTCAAGATTGGACTATTTTGAGTTAACGAATTCCATCTTGACCATCACTTGTCCTCGCACATGAATAACATATGACCAAACCGACTTATTACACAAGACATGACTAGCCTCGTGCTTATACACCGTATGAACCATATGCATCATATGTTGAATTCAACCATGATGTCTCAAGTCTAAGGATCAGTGGTACACTAGCATGATCCTACAATGCATCATTGACCACGTCCATGTGATTCATCGTAATCGGTCGTTTTCGATAAATAGTTCACTAACCGTTTATCCATGCTAATGTCTTACTGACATACCTCTTATAATCACCCACACTAATACCATCACATGATATTCAATGGAGACATTCAGCATGCCTACTATGCAATGTTACTGCCCAATTAACATTACTTGCATAGGGAATTCTTCGATGATCTGATCTTTTGAAGATCCGTGTCATCCGAACATTTCACATGCAATATTATTTATAATATAAATGAAGCAGTAAATCAACATGTGAAATAAGAACACTTTCTTTTATTCATAATACATTTACAAGATATAATGTCTTTAAATCGACAACACGATTGGTTCCTAGGGCACACACTAACAAACGTAGGCTAAATTGATTGGGCAGAACCACTTTAAAATTCTTGTGTTTTTGTTTTCTTTATTTTTAGTTGTTTACTTTAATTTTGCATTTGAGTTATGGGAATCTTTTTTCAACAATAAGTAGCATGGCAAAGAAACCCCAAAACAGTGCCATTCACTTGATTATAACAATTATTTTTCCATTCATCTCATTTCTCATCTTGATTTCTGGGTTTTAGTTTTTCTGCAAGCATATGCATAAAAGATCTCAACCTCCAACCAAATCACCCTAGAGTGTAGATGTGTTCTCAATATGAAATTTTGATGGTAGAGATGNTTGAATTGTTTCTGAACTTTATAGAGGCCCTGAAGTTTTCGCCAAAGTCTAAGAACAAAGCCTTGTTGCCAAACATGTGGTTACTCCTGAATCGAAAAACCACACATCTTCTCTCCAAGCTTTATGGACATCCACTTGGACATCCACTTAAGACATCAACAACATCTTATCTTCAATCCCTGCATAGTTAGTCTTCTCCTCCTTGCTAGAACATTCATATTGAAAATGTCCTAGCTTATGGCAATTGTAACACTCCATGGTGGACTTGTCAAAGTTTTGTCTACTTCTTCCTCTTCCTCTAAAACCTTATTGACCTTGAATCCTCCCGCTAGAATGATCTTCAAAAGTGATCTTCAAATTCCTCTATAACATGGCCATTCATGCGTTGCTCATGCACAAGAAGGTTGTTTTGTAACTCACCAATAGACAAAGTGTCTAGATTATTAGACTTCTCAATAGAACACACAACATAATCAAATTTGGGAGTCATAGATCTCAATTTTTTTCAATGACTACAACATCCCTTATTGTCTCACCATGTATTCTCATCTTGTTACCTATGGGGAGCGTACGAGCAAAATACTCATTTACAGATTCTCCTGCGGTCATGTGAAAAACTTCAGACTCCTTTCGAAGAGCTTGTTAATTGTGCACGCTTGACTCATGTCATGCCTTGGTGTTTTTTCTTCAAAGAACCTCAGATGTTCTTTGATGCGTCTTTATTTAGGATAGTCTCCATAATCGACCAATTAGTTGCTTAAAAAAGATAATTCTTAACTTTCAAGTCTTTCAACTTCTGATCTTCAATTACTTTGTGCTTTAATGAGATCAACTCCTTTTGTTGCTATAGGGATCCCATTCTCCATCAAGCTACAATATTCCTTTGAACGTAGGAAGTTTTCCATGAGCATAGACCAATGATCATAGTGCCCATCAAACTTAAGAAATGTTGGTTGTACAAAGCTGCTTTCTGTCGCCACATTCTTTCTACTACTCACTCAGAAGACTGTTGCTTCTCAAATTTAAATGGCGCTGGTACCAGATGTTAAGAACTGAATATCTTATGTAAAGTATGCAAGAGTTGAGTGAATTTATCTTATTTAATTAAACAAAACAAGTTGACCTTTAAATAGTCTGACAAAGAAACTGAAAATAGAAGACTTCAACCCAGGCTTAACAAGCCCTAATTACGTGGTAACTAATTAAGGAATAGATCAAATAAACAATCATTTCCCTAAACAACAGAGATTATTAAACAATAACAACTTACCAAGTAAAACTCTAATAACTTAACAATTACATACTTTTTTTTTGTTAACCTAGTAGTAAAGATTTATATATCATCAAATATTTCGTCTTTCTAGCCATATTATATATCATTGCAATAAAAGTTAACAAAATACACCCAACTACCTAAGACCACCGCTGGCCGCTAGCCACCACCTTTGGGCATTGGCGAAAGTCGTCATATCGGCATAAGACTGACGAGATCTTATCGGTCGTGTGCCGATAATGATGTTTCCGGTTTGACCATTCCATGGCCAGATCTTTGGTTGTGAAACGGTCATATTCACAGCCAGATCTAACTGTTTTTGGTGCCAAATTACTGCCGGCGGTTGTGGCTAGCTGCCAACGGTGGCTTGGGGTGGTTGGGGGTAATTTTGTTACAAATTAAAGTTTTATATGATTAGAGTGTTTTAGCAAAATTTCAAATATAAGGGGTTAAAAGAAACAATTTAAAAAATAATAGATTAAAATAATATTATATTATTATTTAAAAAGGAGGGTAATTTAGTAATTTATATAACATACCCACTCATTTATCCTTCCTACCAAACTTATTATTATAACATACCCACCAATTTATTCTAATCAACCAACCAATCAACTATATTTCTCTAAAGATTCCCTAGTAATCTATCTTTCTAATAATACAACATTCCTTAGTGATATAATCTTCTCTGAACCAAACGCATCCTAAAGGAACAAAAATATAGAACAATATTTATTAGATAAATAATACTACTTATTGACTTATTCCATGTTTATTACCCTTCCTTAATTTTGAAAACAATGAACAATTATTTTTTGAGTTAAGGTTAATAAACATTGGAATAAGTCAATAAGTAGTACTATTCTAAAATATAGGGTAATTTTTTCTTTTTATTTGGTCTCTTTAAGTAATTTGATTATTTTTCAAAAAGTGGGTTATTATTTTTAAAATTTGGTCATTTTTGTGAATAACAACCAATTTTATGCTGCTCGTACTAAGTGGTCATAATGAATAATGCCAATGTGTTCACTGTTACGATAGCTATTAGCACAGAGTTGAGAGTAGGAACTAGGAAGAGGAATCACGAATGGCTCAGTTCTGGAAACCTGGCACCGAGAAGCCTCGCCTCCTCGACGACGAAGAAGGCGGCGTCCTTTTCTTGTCATCTTCTCTCTCTTCCTCTTCCTCCGGGTATGTTTTTTCCTCATTTATTAAATATTTGTATTTCTTACTCAATTTCATACTTAAAGGTACGCCCATTTAATATGCCTTTTTCTACTTATATTTGTGTTTTTTCTTAGATATGGGCATGCGAGTATTGAGAAACAGAGGCAGAGATTGCCAGTGTACAAATACCGTACCGCTCTTCTTTATTTGGTGGAGACACATGCTACTACTATCGTTGTTGGCGAGACTGGAAGTGGCAAAACCACTCAGATTCCCCAGGTTATTTCGCTTTTTAAGTTTCATTTTGCTTCTTCTTTTCTTGGGCTTTGTTTGGTGGTTGGTTATGATGAGATAATTTGAGAGAAAAGGTTTTTTTGCTGCTTTATTAGTCTTAGTTTTGGTAACAATCTAGTGGATTATTTTGTTAATTGCTTACATGATTTTAATTGTATAATTAGAGATTATGTAGTTATATTTTGTTGCTGAGCAGTCAAGGCAAATGAAAGAAAATAGACCATCTAGCTTCCTGTTTTATATGTTTTCAGTTTGTTTTTGTAGATTTGTCACGTTGGCAAGTTAATTGACAACCAAACACAGCCTTGGTGTGGGTTTGATTATCCCTTTAGAGATTTGGTTAATTCGGCTGTGTTTGATGAATAGACAAATGTGATAGATATTATTGAATATATGTGTAATGGTTCAGGAAATTCTCATTTTCAATTCTATACAATTGCGAAGCAGAATGAATGATTTAATATCCGTTAAATGACCAAGATGAGCGTAATATCTTTTAATAACTGTCATTTTGGAAATGTTTTCTCTTCGTGGTTTCTACATTGGTTGGGGCTACTGAGATTCTTTTTTAAATTTTGAATCGTGATTGTTGTATGATGGTATTACAGTACCTTAAAGAAGCAGGCTGGGCTGATGGTGGTCGTGTTATTGCTTGCACTCAACCAAGACGATTGGCTGTCCAGGTAATATATCAGCTTTGTTAGTCATTTTTCTTTAGTGATTTGTGATTTTCACTATTTGTGCTTGGAGTTATTTCTTAGTAGCATCATATTTGACTCATGTAAGAGCTCATTTTTGCACAGCAATTGGTTGATGTTTGTTCTTGTTCTTGTGAAGTTCGATGTTTAAACGAAATAACCTTCACATTTTTACTGTCTCATGGCCAACAGACCCTTTAAGTGCCTTTGTGTGTACATGAATAAGAAATGTTCTTCGAGAGCCATGTGTAAGTTCATATGCACATAATCTAAGCTAATGACTTCATAAAACTACCTGCTAAATTAAAATTGGTTTTGTCTTGGCATAGCTTTGGCAGAGAACCTTTCCAGGCTTTCAGTTTGTGACATCTATATTGGATATCAATTAGAATTTTCAAATATTTTTTATCTAGCTCTATTACATACTTCATGTGCAGAGGCATTCTCATAGTTGGAGCATTTACTTGGCATATCTAGCTTAATAAATGATTTGGCTCTTGAGACGGACAAATAGGGTGATAATATATTCATAATTTTACTATGAGAAGAAAAAGCACTTTCATTAACTACTAGCTCTTTGTTTTAAGCATAGAGGAGACATGTTTTCATAATTAATTTACTATTATTATGCTTTGCTTCAATTGTTGAGAGATTACAAAGCTGAATGCGATAGGTAATGCGTTATTGTCTTAGTTTAACCTGAGGTATTCAAGGTATCAGTGTAAACTGTACTGAGCAATCTCTAGCATGGCCATGAGTAAACAATTGGGATTATTTGAAATTCTTGAAAATCACTCCAGTTCTTAGGTTTTGCTGGATTAAATTAGATTGACTGGTTTTAAAATGCTGAGCATCATTCACTTAACTGATAACTTCGCATGAATCGTTCATGATGCAGTATTATATTTAGGGTGGTATATTTTTGGTTGTGATTCTTCAATTTTTCTTTTTTTTTTTTTAAATCCCAGATGCCTAAGTATGATTTTCATACTAAGTATTGCCTGTTATTATTAGAATGCCTAAATATTTTTTGTACTAATATTCAGTGGTAGTAATGTGCAGGCAGTTGCTTCAAGAGTGGCAGAAGAGATGGGGGTCAAGGTTGGGGAGGAAGTTGGTTACACAATTCGATTTGAAGATTTGACAAAAAAAGTGAGAGATCTTATCATCTTTCTTCTTCTGTTTAAGCTCTTTACTATCATCTTATTAGACTATTTCCTTGCTTTTGTAACTTTATACTAATTACAGATGCCATATCTGAGCATCAGCATAATCACTTGAAAATTTCTTTGACATTATTTATTATGATAATCTATGTTATGAATGCTGGGACTTCCTCTTTTGGCAGTGCAGGGTGTAACTATGATAAAGTTTCTGACCGATGGGGTGTTACTCAGAGAAATGATGGATGATCCTCTTTTGACTAAATACAGGTACTAGTTATCACTGCAGCGATTCTTTTAGTACCTTCCTTTTGCTGAAGCATATGCTTTAATTTTTTTTTTTTCCCCTCAAAGTATAGCTGCAGAAACTCATGGTTTTAACAATAACTTCCCAGAATACTGTATTATTTGAAAATGATAGACAATTTGGTGTATTGGTCATTGAAGTACAAAAGCATATTCTGAAATTGGAAAACTAGAAATGCACTTTTATTGACATTTGATATAACTGTTGGTTCGTAAGTACCAAAACTCTTATCTGTACCTTCCTTTTTGCAATTTTACATTTTAGATTTGGCATATTATTTTGTTTTATCAGAATTTTAAATTTTGTAAGTTGTTTTTCTTATTGTTATGTAATATGATTTTTGTTTGTTTAATGTTTCTTCATGTGACCATCTCAGTGTCATAATGGTGGATGAGGCTCATGAAAGGTCTATTTCAACTGACATTTTACTAGGCCTCTTGAAAAAGGTATCAATTGTAGCTGCCAAGGATATACAAGTGTTGGCATAAGAAATTAAAAGTCATTATTTTTTGCATTGTCTTCATTTATGCTTGTTAATTATTGAGATTTCAGATCCAACGGCGTCGACCACAGCTGCGTCTTATCATCTCATCTGCTACAATTGAAGCAAAATCAATGTCTTCTTTCTTTCAGGCGAGGTTATCATCTGAGCTTTGCACTTGGGTTTTATTTTTTCTTGACACGCCGTAATTTTGTTATAGAAACTTTAGGAACCTCATTAAATGCATGAGAAATCCATTCACGTTGAGTAAAAGAACTTCTGAGCTTGAAAATAATCAACATCCATTTATCAAAATCATTCATAGTCTGCTACAGGATTTGGACTTAGTTTATGGCATTATGTAGTGTAAACTTAAAAAGTCTATGTTGTCAGAATGAGAAATTTAATATTCTGTTCTCATTGATTCACAGTGTGTTTCAAGATGAAACAAATCAGGACCTGTTGACAGAATTGACAAATTTGCCTCTGCAGTGTTTTTCTATGCAATGTGTAGTTTACTTAGCATAATGTCACGCACTTAACTTTTTTGCTAAATTCGTGCGGCCTTAACACTTCAAAAATGTGTTAAGCAGCTTAACACTCACATAAACTCAAAGACTAATAGTATGCAAGTGAGAAGGATAAGTGTAGAGAAAATGTAAACTCTATATTGAAGGATTATAACTTATGAACTTTACAAAGGGGAGTGACCTCTTTGTAGGCTAAACCTCTTCAAGGAATATGCCTAGATACAATGTATACTTAATCCTTAAGTAACTCTAGGTGGCAACCTTAGGTGACAACTTTGGGAATGAGGAAGCTTAGTCATGAAGTTAACTTAGCCACTAGGTATGCTTAACCTTGAAGTTAACTTAGCCATTAAGTAATGTGCAGCGTACTTGCGTTGCCAAGCCAAGCCAACTGGGCGTGACGTTGTCCCACACCTAATGATGCGACGCCCTCTCGCATTATCCTTGTAGCGCAGGATCGAGTCTTGGAATTGCCATAATGAGTCTTTGATCTTCCAACTAGCTTCGGCATCGGGAAGTCCCTTCCATTTGATGAAGTATTCCCGGTAATTTGGCACACCACGTCGGCGAATGACTCTATCAGCAAGTATTTCTTCAACCTACTTGTCAAAAGATGTTACAACGGCTGTTGGTGCTCGTTTAGAGACTCCTCGGGATGGCTCCTTTAGGTCTTCATGGAATGGCTTTAGCAAGCTTACATGAAAGATTGGGTGTATTTTCAGTTTCGGAGGAAGTTGGAGTCGATACGAAACTCTGCCGACGCGTTGTATCACTGGAAATGGCCCTTCATATTTGCGCACTAGGCTTTTGTGCACCTTTCTTAGTGTCTTGAATTGTTGGGGCAGTAGCTTTACAAGGACAAGATCACCTTCTTGGAACTCAACGTGCCTCCTTTTCTTGTCGGCCCACTTTTTCATTTTCTTTGCTGCTTTATGTAGAACTGCACGAGCAAGTACAATTTGTTCGTGCCATGACTTGGCTAACCTGAAGGCTGCGGGGCTCTTCCCATCATAGCGTGTGGTTAGGAAAAGAGGTGTGTTTGACTGTCGTCCCATGATGATCTCGAAGGGACTCTTGTTGGTTGCCTCATTCCGCTGCAAGTTGAATGAGAATTGGGCTATGTCAAGGAGTTTTGCCCAATCCTGTTGGCTAGCACTCACATAGTGCCTCAAATATAGCTCTAACAGTGCATTGGCAAAGTTTTGTATCGACTCCAACTTCCTCCGAAACTGAAGATACACCCGGTCTTTCATGTGAGCTTGTTAAAGCTATTCCATGAAGACCCGGAGGAGCCATCACGAGGAATCTCTAAACAAGCACTAACAGCCGTTGTAACATCCTTTGACAAGGAGGTTGAAGAAATACTTGTTGATAGAGTCATTCGCTGACGTGGTGTGCCAAATTACCGGGAATACTTCATCAAATGGAAGGGACTTCCCGATGCCGAAGCCAGTTGGGAGACCCAAGACTCATTATGGCAATTCCAAGACTCAATCCTGCGCTAAAAGGATAATGCGACGAGGGCATCGCATCATTAGGTGTAGGAGAATGTCACGACCAGTTTGCTTGGCGACGCAAGAATGCTGCACATTGCTTAATGGTTAAGTTAACTTCAAGGTTAAGCATACTTAGTGGCTAAGTTAACTTCATGACTAAGCTTCCTCATTCCCAAAGTTGCCACCTAGTGTTACTTAAGGATTAAGTATACATTGTATCTAGTCATATTTCTTGAGGAGGTTTAGCCTATAAATAAGCCACTCCCCTTTGTAAAGTTCATAAGTTGTAATCCTTCAATAGAGTTTACATTTTCTCTACACTTATCCTTCTCACTTGCATACTATTAGTCTTTGAGTTTGCGTGAGTGTTAGGCTGCTTAACACATTTTCGAAGTGTTAAGGCAGCACGAATTTAGCAAAGAAGTTAAGTGCGTGAATGGTTGGGAAATCTGAACCTATTAGTAAGCCCGGTCACCGAAACAGGGCATTTTTTCTAGCTATACTTGCCTCTCACTGGCTGGTCAAACTGTTGGACGAGCTGGACGCCTTAAAGCCATTCCTATCTTAGACTTTTGGGCATCACTTTCGGGGATGCAGAATTTTATTTAGTCCTGCCTAATTCCTATCTTCGCTTCTCAGGAACAACAAAAACCACCATCTCGCTCTTTCCTTTCTTCGGTGCTACCTTTTTCTTTCTAAGAGATGGGGTTGGGAATAACCTTTTTTTTTGAGGATGCCTGGGAACAACTCCTAGGTCAATTAAGGATCAAATGTTGGAACCTCATGGGTAAGGATAAGGTAATGGAATTGATAGATAAATTCATAAACCTAGGTGGGATAGGAGAATTGATAAAGCGAATAGAGATGATGATAGAGATCATACTTGTTACACACTTAACTTTTTTACTAAATTCGTGCGGCCTTAACACTTCGAAAATGTGTTAAGCAGCCTAACACTCACACAAACTTAAAGACTAATAGTATGCAAGTGAGAAGGATAAGTGTAGAGAAAATGTAAACTCTATTGAAGGATTACAACTTATGAACTTTACAAAGGGGAGTGACCTATTTATAGGCTAAATCTCCTCAAGGAATATGACTAGATACATGTATACTTAATCCTTAAGTAACACTAGGTGGCAACTTTAGGAATGAGGAAGCTTAGTCATGAAGTTAACTTAGCTACTAAGTATGCTTAACCTTGAAGTTAACTTAACCATTAAGTAGCGTACTTGCGTCGCCAAGCAAATTGGTCGTGACAATAAGCATAAAAACTCTGTGCATGTAGAAAATGTTTAATGTTTCTAGCCTTGGCACTTTGAAATCTTTAAATAAATTACAAGTTTAAATTTCAAAAAAGTTTGATATCCATGAAAATAATTGTTCTTAGCGTCTGTAGGCATCTGATTTACCTCAATTTATCGATGTTTTTATTTTCACTATTTTTTCTGTCATTGGTGTTTGATATGTTAATATTATTGCAAATGACTTGACATTTATGGAGGTTGAGAATTGGAAATGGGTGTTTCATTTTGTAATGTAGTCTTTTTCTGCTTATGTATTCTTAACCTGACTGAAATTCTAGTGATTGCTAGCTCTGATGTTTTGTTACATGTTGTCAGTGATATTACTCAATTGTCTTATGGTATAGCGAGTTATCCTCCAGGTTCCTCAACTAACTGAGAATGTTAATATAACTTCTCAGGTTAACTCTTTTCCCTCTTTTCCCAAGGAAGAAAAGATTTGCCCATTTGAACAGCATACATGATTGCCAATGAAATCTGTTTGGGTAACAACAGATATCTGCGCAAGAATTTTTTTGTTAGTAGTTTTCACTTTATTTTTCTGCTAGTCGTGTAAATCAGTGGAAAAGATGATAGTATTCCATTGGTAATGGTATGCTAGGGTGATGGTTAACAGAGAGAGTTCAATTTGATGGGAGAAATTTACTTTTAAACTTCAATTTTGGTGCTATTGGAATGAAAGATCTTTTGATTGAAAATGCAGCTAGAGAAACTATTGAAATTGAAAATCACTGAAGTACAAGGAATGAAGGAAATCGAAAACCAATATTTTCAAATTTGTTAAGCGTACAGAAAAATTATCTCTTGAGATGACTTCTCTGTTTGGGCCTGACAAGTCTTCATGTTTTGGGTTCCAGAGCATTTCTTTTTAGAGGATGAACTTGGGGAACTTTTATAATTCTGGTTTCATTCCACGGAGGTAAAAAAATAATATTTTATAGGATGGAACAGTCATTAAGCAGATAGAACTTTGAAGAGTTGGAAGCTTTTGTGGGTTTAAAGGCTACAAAACTTAGGCAAGTTCATAGACCTAAGGTTGTCTAAAGAGTTCGCTTTTCTTTCATTTTAGCCGACCCAAAATGGCGTGGTTGGATTCATATGTATATAAAGAAAGATTTTTATTTGTTTGTGAGTGTTTCTTCATATCTATTTGGCAAATGAACCTAATTTATTCCCAGTTGTTTGGAGATATGTATGCCTAATGCACAGATGATATTGGATATTTTTTGCTGTCATGAGATTGTTCTAGCTACTCTTAGGTTGTCTAGTCCATGATGTGAAATTAAGTCTCTTATTATTGTATTTCATTGGAGTTAGCTGGTGCGCACAAGTTAAAAACTTTCATACAATTTTAAAACTTTATTTGTTGCCAAAGCATATTCATGCTATCATCGTGGTGGCAATTTTATGCTTCCACCAGTTTCCGACCTTTTTCTCTTTTGTGAGAATCTGATGTTATGTTGGTTGACAACGTGGCGATTGTTTCAAATATCTTCTATTTCCTGTAAACAGGAAAAACCGTCGAGGTTTGGAAGGAGAGGAGTTTGTACCCAAGATGGAGCCTGCAATCCTATCAGTAGAGGTATGATTTAGAATACAGTAATCCCTCCCTTCTCTCTGTGTCTGTGTTTATGTATTCAAACTTGTTCTTTAGAAGCCAATTTCTGTACTTTTAAAGAGAATTTATCTTTATTTGACATTCTTATGTGAAGTGGGAATGACAAAATTGTTGTGTTATTGTATCTGCTTATATTTCAGGGTAGAGGGTTTAATGTACAAATTCACTATGTTGAGGAGCCTGTCTCAGACTATGTACAGGCAGCTGTTTCAACAATGGTATTAATTAATGATCAGGTACCTTGAAGATTGTTATGTTATTTCTTCATTTATTTTTCTCCTCTATAGGGTGATTACTTTTTGGCCAGTCCCTCTTTCAGGAGATGAAAGCTTCTATTGCAAGCTTTTTTATTTTCTTTTCAGGCAAGCAGGTTTATCTTCTCTATCCGGCATTTTCTAGTATTTGTGCTAGATAATGTCGAGGGAGTCTTTCGTTATAATAGTAGCAGAGATGTTGCGTTGTGATTCATTAACAGTTTTTTGCTATATCTTTTTTTTTTCCCCATCAGGAACCTCCTGGTGATATCCTGGTATTTCTTACTGGTCAAGATGATATTGATACTGCTGTTCATTTACTTACTGAAGAAGCTCGGATCAGTCGGAAGAACTCTTCAGGTACAAAGATGTTCATCATATGTATGCTTTTATGCTTTGTGTTTCCACATGTTTGTGTCCATATGCATACTGATGAGAACCTGACCTGCAATTTACCAAATAACGCTAACAAACTAGCCACAGTTCACAATCAATTCCACAACCAACAAGTGAATCTCTATATTAATAGCAGCAGAACAGTGCATCCGAATGATACATCCAGACTACGTTCAATCAACAATCAGCAAATGAGAATCCCGCAAATAAGCTAAGTACAAAAAGAGAAAACAAAATGATAAGACTGAACTTCGAGGGTCAGTCACCTCCCCTTCCAATCCTTAATCAACTTTTCTGAATGCCTCTCCCTTTTCTCCCCCTCCTCTTTATTCCCTCCTGGCACCTAAGTTTACTCATAACAGAATTTCTCTTCTCTCCACTCCCATCAGGCCACCTGTCCCCATCATAACAAATTCTAACCTCTTGCATGACAATTATTCCCCTGCTTCTTACCACACTTCTTCCTACGGTATACCCTTCCCCTTGGTTGCTCATCATTACCCTCCCCAAGGAGAGCCACCTTATCCTCAAGGTGGAAAGAAGGAAACTGGCAGGGAATAGTTTCAAAATCCTTACAAGTGTTTTCAAAGGGAGGTAGACCTTTCCATTGAATCAGCACCTCCCACTGTCCATTGAGGAGTTTCCTTTTCTTAAGAACAGCTTCAGGTTCAAGTTGTAGAATGAGGTCTTCATTGAGGGCTGCTGGTAGAGGTTGACTATTGGAAATAGGAAAAGTAGCTTTTTTCAGTTGCGAAACATTAAAAACATCATGAATATGTGCTGAAGATGGTAGTGCCAGCCTATATGCGACTGCCCCAATTTTGTCCGTGATGACAGATGGACCATAAAACCGTGGATTGAGTTTCTCATTATATCGACGGGCTATAGACCTCAATCTGTATGGCTGTAACTTTAAATATACAGGTTCCCCTACCTCAAATGTAACTTCTCGGCGATGGTGGTCTGCAGAAGTCTTCATGCGGTGTTAGGCCTTGAGGAGATGGTCTTTTTAACTCGTCAAGAACATGATTACGTTGCTAGAGTTACTGGTCAACTTCGTCGACTAAAGAATTGTGGTTTGAATAACACAACACTGTTGGGGCATCACGGCCAATGAGGGCCTTAAAGGGACACACTCCTATGGAACGGCTATAAGTAGTGTTGAACCAAAACTCTGCCCATGGAACCCATTTTGGCCATGACTGGGGTTGGCCATTGACAAAGCATCTGAGGTATGTCTCCAAGCAACGGTTTACTACCTTTGTCTGACCATCTGTCTGTGGGTGGTATGCAGAACTCATGTGTAATTGGGTCCCTGATTGTTTAAACAGTTCGCTCCAAAAATTGTTCATGAAGACCCTATCCCGATCTGAAACGATGGTACGGGGAACCCATGCAAGCGAACCACCTCTTTGATAAACAAGTGAGCGACCACCTTGGCTGTGTAGGGATGTTTGAAGTTAAGAAATGACTATATTTAGTCAGACGATCCACTATGACCAAAATTGTATCCACCCCTTTTGCTTTCGGAAGCCCCATGATGAAATCCATCGAAACATCTTTCCACACTTGGTTAGAAATAGGCAATGGCTAAAGCAAACCCGCTGGACTCATGGCGTCATATTTTTTTTGTTGGCAAACAGGGCAAGCAGCCACAAATTCTTTGATATCATGCTTCATTCCCTCCCAAAATACCACGTTTGTTAGCCGCTTATATGTTCGAAAGAATCCCGAATGGCCCCAGATGGGCGATGCATGGAATTCTTGTAAATTTTTCTGGATGTGAGGTCCAAATTTAGGTAGTACCAATCTGTTATGGTACAGCAGGTGGCGGACTAGTAATCTGAAAGGATAATGACTATTGGGGTCTATCAGGAGCTGCTGCATTATTCCACGTAACTTATCATCACCCTGAATGGCATCTTCCAAACTGTCTAGTCTCGAAAAGTAACCCACGGAAATAGCATGAAGATCTACCTGGTCTGGCATTCGAGAAAGAGCATCTGTTGCCTTGTTCTGAGGGTCTGGTTTATACTGAATGATGAAGTCTAACCCCAACAATTTGATAACCCATTTTTGCTAATTTTCAGTCAATAATTTCTGCTCAGTGAGGAAGTGAAGACTGCGCTGGTCCGTCTAAATAACAAAACGTCTTCCCAACAAGTAATGACGCCACTTTTGCACAGCTAGCACTATCGCCATAAATTCCCTTTCATAGACTGACTTCAATTTGGAAGTTAAGGATACACCTTTGCTGAGAAAAGCAATCGGACGTCCCTCTTGCATCAGCACAACTCCTAATCCACTCCCGAAAGCGTCGGTGTCAATGACAAATTCCTGCGTAAAGTTAGGCATCCAGAGAACAGGTACACTGGTCATGAGTCGTTTTAACGCCTCAAAAGCCTCTTGACCTGCTGTATTCCACACAAACGAATCTTTCTTTAATAGGGCAGTGAGTGGCAGGGCAATTTTTCCGTAATCTCAAACAAATCGACGATAGTACCCCGTCAATCCCAAAAACCCTCTGAGTGCTCTGATGTCTCTCGGTTCCGGCCATTTGATAATACTCTCAATCTTTGAAGGATCAATCGACACACCTTGAGCTGAGACCACATGCCCCAAATACTCCAACTGTGATTGCCCAAAATTACATTTTTTTTGATTTACCACCAATTGATTGTCTAAGAGGACCTGCAGAGTAATGCTGAGGTGCGTCACATGGTCGCTCATCTCCTTACTATATATCAGTATATCATCAAAGAAGACCAGCATAAATTTTCTTAAATAAGGCTTGAAGACGTCATTCATCGCTGCTTGGAAAGTAGTCGGTGCATTGGTGAGACCGAAGGGCATTACTACAAACTCATAGTGCCCCTCATGTGTCCGAAAGGCAGTTTTGTGTGTGTCCGCTGGTTTCACTCGGATTTGGTGATAACCTGATTTCAAATCAAGTTTAGAAAACACTATCGCGCCTTCTAACTCATTAAATAATTCGTCAATGGCTGGAATCGGAAATTTGTTCGGAACGGTCACCTGGTTAACTGCCCTATAATCCACACAGAATCTCCACCCCCCATCCTTCTTCTTTACCAACAAAACTGGGCTCGAGAATGGACTGATACTGGGCTTTATAATTCCCAAAGCGAGCATTTCCTTGACAAGACGCTCTACTTCGTTTTTCTGATAGTAAGGGTACCTATACGATCGCAGGTTTGGTGGTTGAGCCCCTAGAACTAACTGAATGGCATGGTCTCTGGACCTGGCAGGTGGTAACCCCGGGAGTGGCTCGAAAACTCGACTAAAGGTCCGTAACACCTCCATCAACCGATTATCCACATCACCACTGTCATCACACTGTTTTTGAATCTGACCAAACTCTATCAAACACCCCTGTCCCTCACTCTGCAACGCCTTGATCATAGCCTTGAGCGAAACCATGGTTTTGTTCAGAGATGGGTCCCCACGCAGACACACAATCTGATCACCCAGTTTAAACCGCATGTTCTGCTTCCTCCAATCTATGGCTGTTTCCCCTAAAGTTTCCAGCCACGCAATCCCCAGAACAACATCCGCACTGCTCATATAAAATGAAAAAAAATTCTGAATAACCGTCACTCCCTATAACTCCATGCAAACATTTCTACATTCTCCTTCACATCTCACGCTATATCCATCACCTACTTTGACCCCAAAAGACTGAGTTCCCACCACGAAAATTCCCAAGCATTCAACCACCTTTGAACTAATAAAATTGTGGGAAGCCCCACTATCAATCAACACAATCAGGTCCTTACCTTGAATTCTTCCTTTGAGTTTCATTGTTTTTGGGCCATGAATCCCCACCACCGAGCTAAGAGAAAGCTCAACTTGTTCCTGTCGTTGCTCCATTCCAGACTCGCCAGACTCCCCACCACCAATCGGGTCTGGATCATCTTCCTCATCCACTAAAATAATTTGAAATTGCTTCTCCCCACATTTTTGCCCAAACGAAAACTTACCATCACATCTGAAGCAAATACCTTTCTCCTTTTTCTTCTGGATCTCCGCGTCTGTCATTCATCGAAATGGAAAGTCTCTTCGCTGGAAGTTTGGTCGTTCATAGGGCCGAAACGATGACGGGGTGTGGTCGCGACTGGAGAAGTGCATCGACAAGCCTTGTATTGAGGTTTCCGGCGATCGTCGACTGAAATGGGAAGATTGGTGTGATTTTAGGGATTTAGATGTGTTAGGAAATTTTGGGTTTAGGTTACTCTCGAATCTGGTTAAGTTGAGGCTATCCAATCGGGTCGTGGGTCTGGATCCATGGTTGTTGGACCCATTTGAAGGTCCAGGCCCGGTAAAGCGTGTGGCTTTAATTGTTCCGATTTGGGCCTCCTCTATTGCATGATTTCTCTCCTCAATTCGTTGGGCCAGGTCTATTATTTGAATTAATGACGTGGGCTGAGCTAAACGGATTTCAGCTCTCACTTCAACTTTCAGCCCATTGATAAATGCTTCTTGCAGTATCTCTTCCTTCTCCCCTACCAGAAGTGCAGCGACAGCTTCAAATTGACGACGAAACTCCATAACTGAACCAGTTTGCTTCATGGCCATTAATGACTCATACGGGTTGAGCTCTTGAGACCCACTAAATCTTTGAAGTAGTGCCAACTTAAACATGGCCCATGAACTCGCCGGAGCTCTGGATTCCATCCACTGGAACCAGTTAATGGCTTCCCCCTCCATACAGACAGCCTGCTGTCAACTTTCCTTCCTCAATTATTCCATTGAGGTGGAAGTAGCGCTCTACTCTAAAAATCCATCCGTAAGGATCTTCGCCAGAAAATATCGGCATCTCCAACTTTTTTCCAGCCATTTCACTACGGGTTTGGTTACTGTTGCTAGACCCGCTCTCTCCATTTGGATTTTCTTCCTGATGAGATCGAATATTTTCCGATGAACGCATCTCAATTCTACCTGCTTCTTCCTCATCATTTCTTCGCACCCATGACTGTATCTCAATCAAACATTCTTGAATGGTACCCATCTCAACTCCCAACTTCGTAACTTCTCGTTCCACATTATCCATTCTAGAATCCATTCTTGTCAAGACCATAACCCAGAACTCAATGCTCTGATACCACTTGATGAGAACCTGACCTGCAATTTACCAAATAACGCTAACAAACTAGCCACAGTTCACAATCAATTCCACAACCAACAAGTGAATCTCTATATTAATAGCAGCAGAACAGTACATCCGAATAATACATCTAGACTACGTTCAATCAACAATCAGCAAATGAGAATCCCGCAAATAAGCTAAGTACAAAAAGAGAAAACAAAATGATAAGACTGAACTTCGAGGGTCAGTCACCTCCCCTTCCAATCCTTAATCAACTTTTCTGAATGCCTCTCCCTTTTCTCCCCCTCCTCTTTATTCCCTCCTGGCACCTAAGTTTACTCATAACAGAATTTCTCTTCTCTCCACTCCCATCAGGCCACCTGTCCCCATCATAACAAATTCTAACCTCCTGCATGGCAATTATTCCCCTGCTTCTTACCACACTTCTTCCTACCGTATACCCTTCCCCTTGGTTGCTCATCACATACATAGATATAAATGAAAGGATTCATTCACACACCTATTTGCAAATGCATTTGTAACTATTCTGAGTTGAGGTATTAAAGGTTTGACATCAAAGGTGGCTTGCAATAGTGGATGAGGACAATTATTTCCCAAATAATTGACTTTTTAAAAATTTCGTAACTGTGCAGTTATGATACAAGATTACAGTGTTTAAAGACAACATTATTTTCTTAATTAGCAAAGACTGATCATTGCTTATTACTTTCCACACTGGACTAATTTCTCGATAATGAATATATAGATTACATTCTTATCTTTTTGTGTCTTTCACTGTTTTATGAAGTTATTAAACCTCATTATTTTATTGATTCTCGATTTCAGGATTGATCATATTGCCTTTGTATTCTGGACTTTCTCGGGCAGAACAGGTTAGTAATGTACTTTGAAGTATCTGGGTTCTGATATGCTGGTTTTTCTGGATTTTAGTTCATAAAATTTTTGGTTTGCTGACTCCACCTTTATACTCTCTTGATATTATTAGGAGCTAGTATTTTCTCCCACTCCTAGAGGAAAGAGGAAAGTGGTGATATCAACAAATATAGCAGAGACATCATTGACCTTGGAGGTAACATCTCTGCTGATTAGATCAGTATCCATTGGATGTGATTTGTCTGAAGTGATCAAGTGGTACTCTGATTCACCCTTATTTCTGATGTATGCAGGGAATTGTTTATGTTGTTGACAGTGGTTTCTCGAAACAGCGGTTCTACAATCCAGTAATTTCTTTGCTAAATTTTTTATGCTTAAATTATGTATTGCTATGGTTTCCTGAGCTGGTATAGGAGCTGCATCTTTTTCTTTTCTTATGCAAATTTATATCTTGTGTCAATGCAGTGACTGGTTTTGTGATGTGATGAATCTAAATGATTTATAGTCTTTTCTCTATGTGAAGTTTTTCTCTGTTGATGAGATTAAAATCATCTATCACTGTAAATATTAATAGATTGGGAGATTTGCTATTTTGTACTGTTTAGGAAAAACTTACCCTCAATTATCTCTGTCACATAAATCTTCATTGTTGGTTAATTTTTTCTCTTTGTAACATAAATCTTCATTATTGGTTAAATTTTTCCTCCGTCTTTTGGTGATGATACCGCTACTTGTACACTGGTAGCTATATTGTTTTTATTACTGATTTGCTTTATCTCTTGCATATACTTTGTTACAGATCTCAGACATTGAAAATCTGGTAGTGGCTCCAATATCAAAGGCATCTGCTAGACAAAGAGCTGGTAGGGCTGGAAGAGTTCGGCCAGGAAAATGTTACAGGTGCTGACTGCAGTCAATTATATTACATTGGTGTTGATAATTTTTGTCTGTAGTTGTGTAAATTGAATGTGTCATTATCATTACTTATATTATCAGTGTTGATTTATTTCTTCTTTCAGTTATTAAACCTTAGCATTAATATTATTATGAAGGACATCTCTTACCTTTTTTAACCACTTCAAACTAAAGGTGTGGCTTCCGATTTTATAACAAACTAATCTTTTGTGATCTGTAGGTTCATCGGTCCATATTCCTCTACATTTTATTTTGTTGGAATCTTCTCTTCTATCTTGTCTAGGGAATGATCCTCACCTTTATTTTTAATTTTATATATCCATATATTTTCTTATACTTGATATTGTGTTGTATGTTGAGTAATGAGCAAGAGTTGCATCTTGAAGTTGTGATGATACTATTGACATCTCTTTATCTACCATACAACTTGAAGTTATACTTGCCACTAATCTTCAGCTTTTTGTGACAAATTAATTTTTTGGTGTCTGCAAGCAGGTTATACACAGAAGAGTACTTTGTAAATGAGATGTCTGCTGAGGGGATCCCAGAGATGCAGAGATCAAACCTGGTTTCTTGTGTCATTCAGGTTCTATTTTGTTGTAATCGCTATAGGTAGCGTATTATCATATGGTGTTGCATTTGCTCTGAACCCTTACTCTGGACCACCCCATTCTTTTTGCTTGCATTTTGGTCCCAAAGCTCTTAATGAGATTAAACTGTTTTATATGCAATTGTTGCTTCCTAAATATTCTCACATATGGTTGGTTATCTATGCTCTATTTGAAGAAAAGAAAAATATGCCATCAACAAGAAGAAATTTTGGAAGAGAAATTCCTTATTTCATATTGCCTAGTGTTGTGGTCTCACATCAAAATAGAAATGAGACTGGTCTTGGGCTTATAAGGGTGGGTAGCCAGTATCACTAATAGGCTAGACTTTTGGGTAGTGAGCTAGTGCCCGACCCGTAACAAATGATAGTAGAGCATGTCCAAGTTCTCATTCGTTATGTGGGTTCCCTATTTCCACACCAAGTGCCTAAAAAAGGTCAAGGTAAGGAGGGTGGGACAAACCAAGGGTGGATTGAGCTGGTCAAGAATAGTGCCAAATGTGATGAGCGGTGTCATGTGATTAGCTGGGGATAATATTGAGATCCCACATTGTGTAGAAGTAGGTTTGGTCTTAGGCTTGTAAGGGTAGCTAGACAACATCACTTAATAGACTAGCCCTTGGTGTAGTTGGCATGCTTCCGTTCCTTGACACTAGGTATAATGCCAACTAAGTATTACAGTCTTTCTTGTTGTATCATTTGCCTAAACTGTCGCTTGTGTTAGATATTCTTACAACAGCTTGCTAAATTGAAATTACTTCTGGTAGGTTATCCATATTGTTAATTGACTTGAAGTAATATTATGCTGGTTGTGAATATATTTTATTCTTTTGTTTTGTAGGCAATTTGAGTGTCCTATTGCAAGTGTATGCTTAATTTTGTTAAAATGCTTGTTACTCTATTCTGATTTTTCAGTTAAAAGCCTTGGGCATAGACAATATATTGGGCTTTGATTGGCCAGCATCTCCACCGCCTGAAGCAATGGTCCGAGCACTTGAAGTGCTTTATTCACTTGGAGTTCTTGATGATGATGCCAAACTTACATCACCTACTGGGTTTCAAGTTGCAGAGATTCCTTTGGTACGTTACCATTATATTACTATAAACTATATTTATGCTTTCTGCTGATGTTTATGTATGTTGTGTTGGGTGCTTTCCTGTCCATGTAAAACAAATAACTGCACCCTGGCCTGAGGTTAGGATCATCTTCACAAAGGAGATGAATGCAACATGAAATTATAGAAATGGGCTATACATTTTTGTTGGATGGATGGTGCTTATAAAATGTGCCTATCTTGTCTTTCTTATGAATAGCCCAAAGACACTATGTTTCTCTCTTGTGTTTTGCCTGAATTTGGTGGCATGTTTTCTAAAATCCGATAAAATTTTTTGAGTTTATGCTCCTATTATCTTCAGTGGATTTTGTGTTAAATTGAACTATCCATCGTTTTGTAAAATTTTGAATGTATGCATTCATATGAAAGTTCATTATCTTATCCTCGAAAAAGTTTCATCCAAAATTTATTTTCTAAGTTTGAAGGCCTTGTTACACTTTTTATGATGCATGATACAAAATGTTTTGTGACATAGGTGAATCAAAATATAATTTATAATCATGTCCAAGACTTGCAACTATGCTAAAACATGTTGAGTTTTCCTGGAATCATAAGATCTCTTGCACTTCATTATTTATCCATGGTCCATCAAGCGAGGGATTTGAAGGGTGAAACTTATATGAACTTACTGTTGCATATATCAGTTCTTCATGTTTGATTTCTTGCATTTTTTAATTGTATCATTCCTTTGCAATTTGAGATCTGCACCGCTGAAGTAGTTAGGAGGGTGATAATCACTGTGAGCTAAAAGCCTTCCACCCCGGTGTTTTTTAGTTATTATTGAAGTAGGGTAGATGTTTTGTCTTTTTCTCACAACATGTTTTCATTTCAAATGTTTATCTGCTGTCTGATGAACCATTGGCTGCTGTTTTTGGATGTTGCATTGAAATTTCAAGTTATGTTTATGACTCTTTATCTGATGGTGATTTATGTTATAAATTGAATTTTTGAATGCATTTGTTGTATTTTTCTATTTTCTTTAGGACCCAATGATCTCCAAAATGATCTTGGCTTCAAATGAACTTGGATGCTCAGAGGAGATTATAACAGTTGCTGCGGTTCTCTCCATCCAAGTAACGTTTTACCCTTACTCCATTGTGCAATAGTCAGTTTACCCTCTTTTTGGTTGGAGACAAGAATATTAAGTTTACTTCATATCATTATCTTGGACAATATTAGAATTTAGAATTTTAGAGTAACAAACCTGGCAAAGGCTGTTATTAGGGGATAAGGAATATTGAAAATTACCTAAGAGAAAAAATAAGCTATGGTGAGTTCTAGTTTTCATTAAAATTTTTGTTTTGCAGTCTATATGGGTTTCTGCTAGGGGAGCACAAAAGGAACTGGATGAAGCCAAGTTAAGGTTTGCTGCTGCTGAGGTATTTGATTCAAACTGTGAAAGATTTAATGAACTTTATGAATTTTAGACTAGATTTGCACATCTTTTCTGCATGTGTTTTATCTTTGTTTTTCCTGTACTTTAAATCATTGGTGAGATACTTGTAGCACCTTGTAGTGTTTGCCTTTTAGGCCTGTGCATTGTACGAAGCCTTGTCAGTGCTATTCTTTTTATTGTTTAGTCAGTGCTACACTTTTTTCCCCCTTTGCTACTCTGTGTTGTAAAATGGACCTTCATTGTGATTGTTGACTCCTGGTATATGGTTAGAATTCTGGAGTGACTATAATTGTATTTAGCATGTTGAAATTCACTTGGTATAATACATTTCCTGAAATGAAAATCCAATATTTGTGTATAAATTCATTTATCCATGCCTTCGAATACTTTAACTACACCATAGATATTTCTTCAACTGTTCTTTTACCTATATTTCTTTATTTTTTATATTTTTCTGCTGTGTGCTGTGTATGTTTTATCTCATTTATTGTGTTTGTCATACCTGCAGGGTGACCATGTCACATTTCTAAATGTTTACAAAGGTTTTCTTCAGTCTGGTAAATCTTCACGGTGGTGTCATAAGAACTTTGTAAACTACCAGGCCATGGTACATAACTGGATTTAGTTGCTCTTAACAATATAAGAACTTTTCAATATATCTTTTGACTTACNTTTTTCTGCTGTGTGCTGTGTATGTTTTATCTCATTTATTGTGTTTGTCATACCTGCAGGGTGACCATGTCACATTTCTAAATGTTTACAAAGGTTTTCTTCAGTCTGGTAAATCTTCACGGTGGTGTCATAAGAACTTTGTAAACTACCAGGCCATGGTACATAACTGGATTTAGTTGCTCTTAACAATATAAGAACTTTTCAATATATCTTTTGACTTACATGCAGAGAATCTGATATTTTTAGATTTACTCTCCTTAAGGGACAATTATTTGGTGCATTCATAGATATAGGACTTATGTTGATGTTAGTATTTAATGTTTTGTGTTCGCAGAAAAAAGTTATTGAAATTAGAGAACAACTCAGAAGAATTGCCCAGAGAATAGGCATAGTGTTAAAATCTTGTGAAAGTGATATGCAAGTAAGTATATTTCATGCTTTCATTGATTTACTGAAGGAAACGTATTTTTCACGCTTTTACTGATTTAGTGAATAAAAAGTTTAAAATGGAATATGATTTACCAAAAGTGAGAGAGACAACGCATACCTTCTGTTGATTAGCCATTGCTATAATTTAGCCTTTTCCTGGGCATTGTCTTAAATTTTAGTACAGCTACTATATAAATTGTCATTTTGTGAACTGCTGGCAGACGCATTAATCAAATGAGAAACATGGGGTCCATTTGGTACACTACCTTTCCACTATCTTATTCTACTATCCTATCCTAAAAATCCAAAAATGCATTTGTTTCAATATTATTCAAAATTCAATCAAATCATGTTCAAGTCAAAATATTAACAATTACTTTTCTCAATAAAAGTTTTAAAATTAACAAAAACACCCTCACCCATCCAAGCCACTATCACCTGCCAACAGCCATTGTTAGCCGTCGCCGCTGGTGCCGTAACGATGCATGATCGGTTGGATCTGGTCGGTCATGCGTTGATCTGTCCATTTCCATGGATCTAGCCGGAAACAGCCATATCTACGGCCAAAAATCTGGACATTGACGGCCGGATTTAGCGGCATCTGGCCGTTGATGACGGCCATATCTTGGCCGTCGTTTGGTTGTCAACAACGACTAGATCTGGTCGTCAACGGACAAATTTGTGGTCATAGATTTAGCTGGAAAGGCCAGAACGGCTCATTACCAACCAAATCTAGCCGGTCATGCGCCATTCCGACAGATTCCGGCCACCTTCCAGTGATGGTGGTCGGCTGCCAACAATATGTGGGTGGGTAGGGGTGTTTTTGTCAGTTTATAAATTTTTATTGTTGGGAGTGTTTAGTTAAATTAATAAACCCAAGGGATTAAAAACAATCTATTTTCAGAAAATGTTATTAAGAAATGTACAAAAAACTTTTCAAAATCCTATCCTATTTCCCAAAAATGTTATTTAGCATAGAATTCTATTCTAAATAACTAACCAAATGGAGCCTGTGGCTATTCTACTATTCACATTTTGCAGATTGTAAGAAAGGCAGTTACTGCAGGATTTTTCGCCAATGCATGCCATTTAGAAGTGAGTAATATTTATTCACCACAATTTGAAGTATTCACCTATTTTTGCTTTGTCTTTTCTTAAGTATCTCAAATATTTTAGGGTCTCCATTTTCGTATTTTAGTTCATTCATTAATCAAATTAAAATGGCTTCCAGAAGTTTTTCTTAGGTGCTGTTCTGATGAATCTGAGTTGTTTATTTTGTTAAAAGGCATATAGTCAAAGTGGGATGTACAAGACTATCAGAGGTTCTCAAGAAGTTTATATTCATCCATCGTCGGTGTTATTCAGGTCAGTGTAGAGGCTGGATATATATTTTTTCTCTAAGTAGGAAATGTGCTAAATAATTATCAGGGTTTTACTGGATTATGTTTATAAACAAGGATCGTAAAATAAAATACATGGTTAATTTGGAAAGTCCTTCGGGAAGTTGTCACTGCACTGCCTAACTGTATTCCTGCTGCTGCCAATGGTGTTCCAATCTAGAAATATTTTCTCAACTTCTGGTATTACTGATACTCTGGAATATAGACACATCATGGCACTTCAATGTATAGGAGGCTCTTGCTTCGCAAGATCTTATATAACAACAGTGATTCAAGTAGTTACACTTGTATTTCTGTATATATAGCTGATTTATCAATGAAATCAGGTTGCTGCTTATGATTGTCTTCCTTTTGAATCGTGAAAAAAAAATGTATGTTTTTATCAGTATTAATTATATTATATGCAAGCTAAATATGTGTGATATGGGTGTTTCTACTTGCAGAGTTAATCCAAAGTGGGTAATATACCACTCCCTGGTTTCAACAGACAAACAATACATGCGTAATGTCATCTCCATTGATCCTTCTTGGCTGTTAGAAGCTGCTCCTCATTTTTACCAGCACCAGCGGCTCAACCCCATCGGCCACTAACTGGCCTATTTGTTGTGGATTATCAATACCATTAACAATCATGATCCCAAGTTTTCGAAAAATATATTGTACGTATAGAGCATGGAATGGATAATAGTTCCTGCATTGTTTATTGCTCTTCTTGAAGATTTAATAGGATATTTTTGTTCTTGATTATGACTTTCTGGGCCAACTTCTTTCATCATTTTAGGTGTATTTTCGTTTTTCCATTCCTTAAAGGTTAGGGCTTAAGATAAATAAAGCTTCTTAAACTTCAAATGCGAAAGATATCATCTTATATGAATATGATGAACTTTCACCCATTTTTAGTCCGAAATTGGTTATTCATAAGCAACATAATTTAAGTTATGGAGGCCATTGCTTTGAAATCAATTTCGATCTAAGAATTTATTGGAAATTTCTGATACAATTATTATTAAAAATTAATGTAACATTCATTATTTTCCCAAGGGGCCGTTTGCTTAGCAGCAATAAAATATTATACCGGTAATCTATCTTAAAATTTGGATATTATCTTATTTAGTTGTTTGGTAATAAAATATTTTAGTAATCTTTTAATACAAATAGTGATTATTGTAAGTGATATTGTGGGTAATTTGGGGTGCGTTTGGTTTGTTATTTTGGATAGGATTTTGTAAATAATATTGGGTAGTTGAGTATGGTTATTATTACGAGAATATAATTTGAATAATATGTGTTTGGTAGAGTATTTTGACTTTGTTATTTGTGTTGAATATTTGATTAATCTATTTTTTTAGAAATGATTTATTAATATAATATTTTGTTACATTTTGTTAAAATAATGTATTATTATAATCTTAAAACTTATCAATTTACATTTTACTAACATTAAACATTTTATTGGTAATTTTGTAACCAGTAAATATTAAAAAAAAAAAAAAAAAACTCATATTAATTTCAAGTACTAATCCAATTGTTTAAAAACACCACATTAATACATATATGACAAAGTACTAATTATCAACCCTTACAATCGTTCTTACACATATACTCCATTAACAACTATGACATGGTCATATGTGTTGCCCACAGTTCAGTTATTATGTTATCCCGTACAGTCGTCATGTTGTCTATAATACCTTACTGCGGTTGACTCGGTCCTTCTCCAATTCTGTCATCTTCTGCGCCATTTTAGCAATCACAATATACTTGCTGATTACCCGTATTTTCAGTATACCGTTCAAAGATAGGGTCCTCTATATTGTACATTCTGATAAAATTATGAAGTACACAATATGCCATAACAATCTTCCCTTGTTTGTCCAACAGGTAATTGTTCATTCCATTCAGAATACGGAACCGTCCTTTGAAAACACCAAAGGTTATCTCGACAATATTGCGGAGTGAAACATGTCTGTAGTTAAACAACTCTTGTGGCCCCCTTCGGTTACGACGGTGATCAGAAATATGGTAACACACTCGCCTGTGAGGGGCGAGGAACCCCTCTCTATTTGGATAACCCGCATCAACCAAATAGTATTTCCTTGTAATAAAATCAGACATGTTATTTGAATTCTAGGGCCTCAACAGTTGAGCAAATACGCTATAATAGGTCAAGAAAATACTGTTACCTGGTGGAGGATATGGGAATCCAAAATTAGGATCATCAAGAATTGAATTTAAAACTCTTGAATTATGCGCATATCCTTCCCATCCAGTAACAACATAAGTGAACATCATCCTAAAGTCGCATACAGCCATTACATTCTATGACAACGTTCATTTGCGATTCTGGTACCTATTGCCAAATTCATGTGGAACCGAAGCATATACATGTGTCCTATCATCAAAATTGAATTTTAGTCATATTAACCGACTATCAACATTAATAACACGATGAACTTAACTATCCACTAATAGAAAACATAATGAAGAAGTACCTTAAAGAAATCTCAAGGCATCTGCTAACAAGCTGGTAGGGCTGGAAGTTCGGCCAGGAAATGTTACAGGTGCTGACTGCAGTCAATTATATTACATTGGTGTTGATAATTTTTGTCTGTAGTTGTGTAATTGAATGTGTCATTATCATAACTTATATTATCAGTGTTGATTTATTTCTTCTTTCAGTTATTAAACCTTAGCATTAATATTATTATGAAGGACATCTCTTACCTTTTTTAACCACTTCAAACTAAAGGTGTGGCTTCGTTTATAACAACTAATCTTTTGGATCTGTAGGTTCATCGGTCCATATTCCTCTACATTTTATTGTTGGAATTTTCTCTTCTATCTTTTTTAGGAATGATCCTCACCTTTATTTTTAATTTTAATATCCATATATTTTCTTATACTGATATTGTGTTATGTTGAGTATGAGCAAGAGTTGCATTTGAAGTTGTGATGATACTATGACATCTCTTATCTACCATACAACTTGAAGTTACTGTGGAAAATATTTTCTTGTATTTCATAATGAGATGTACAATGAATTTATAGCAAAAACAAAAACTAATCTAGGAAGTAATCTAGAGTAATTTGTTACATTCCTATTATAATTCTATTTCTTATTCCTATTATAATCTATTTCCTATATTACAATGAGAATAATTATTTCCTTATTACAAAGAGAATAATTCTATTTCTATTTTACATTTCAACACTCCCCCTCAAGCTGGGCTATAAGTCAATGCACCAAGCTTGTTACATAAAGTCAACACAGAACCTATGAAGCTTAGTGAGGATGTCTGCTAACTTGTTCGTGTGGAACTAACATAACTAGTTGCAATACACCCTGATAGAACTTTCTCTCGAACAAAGTGACATCAATTTCTATGTGTTTAGTCCTCTCAAAACACTGGATTTGAAGCAATTGAGGCAGCCTGATTATCACAGAACCTTCATTTGTGATACTTCGACAAATCTCAACTCTTGAATTAGTTTTTAACCAAACCAGCTCACAAGTGGCTAAGGCCATTGCACGATACTCTGCTTCAGCACTTGACCTTGCAACAACTGCTTGTTTCTTACTTTTCCATGAACAGGTTTCCTCCAACAAAACACAAAATCCTGAGGTAGAACGTCTATCAATGGGAACCTGCCCAATCAGCATCTGAATATCCGCAATACGAATGGCCCTTATTTTCATACAGTAGCCTCTACCTGGTGCTCCCTTGATATACCTCAAAATCCGGACAACTGCATCCCAATGACTACACGGAGTTTGAAGAAACTGACTCACAACACTGACGAAAAGGAAATATCGTCGTGTGATAGTAAGATAGTTAAGTTTTCCAACAAGTCTTCGATACCTTCCGATCAGTAAGAGGCTCCCCCTGTCCAGGTGAAAGTTTTAAATTAGATCCATAGGAGATCTATGGTCTGCAACTGACATCCCTGTTTCCTCTAGAATATCCAGTACATACTTCTTCTAGAAATAACAATACCAGATTTAGACTGAGCGACTTCTATGCCAAGAAGTATCTGATAGCCCTAGTCTTCGTCGAAGTGTTTGAACAAGTGTTGCTTCAACTGTCATGCCATCTTGATCACTTCCTGTAATAACAATATCATCGACATAGACAACCAGATAGATACATGCTCCCTGATGATGTATGTCTATAGAAAACAGAGTGATCAGACTCACATCGAATCATACCAAACTCTTGGATCCTGTGCTAATCGTCCAACAAGCACAGAGACTGTTTTAGACCATAGAGAACGACGAAGTTTACATACCAAACCATACCCCCCTGAGCCACAAACCAGGAGGTTGCTCCATAAAATATCTTCCTGAAGTTCACCATGAAGAAAAGCATTCTTAATATCCAATTGAGCATAGGCCAGTTCCGAATGGCACCATACAGAACAACTGGACGGAAGACATCTTAGCAACAGGAAAAAAAGTGTCAAAAAATCTGTCCCATAGATCTGAGGTTATCCCTTGGCCACCAAACGGGCTTCAGCCGATCAACCTTACCATCTGACCAACCTTGACAGTGTAATCCATCGACAACCAACGTCGAATGGCCCGGAGGTAAGGAACTAACTCCCAGTATGATTATGATGCAAACAGCCATTTCTTCAACCATTGCCTGACGCCACCCGAGGTGAAAAGTGCCTCATAACATTACTAGACAGACCAGAAACAGAAGAAAGGGTGGAGACAAAGGCATAATATGAAGGATATAAACGATGATAACTCAAAAAATTGTAGATGGGATGAGGGTTGCGTGTAGACCGCATACCTTTACGAATAGCAATGGGAAACTGATCAGCTGGACAAGACCATGGCATTGGAGGAATCGGGCACAGGACCTGCAGTAAACGGGATCTCAGGAACGGCACGGAACATCAGGATCACCTGTAAAAGGAACAAGACTATTGTCGACAGGAAGAGTGGTATTAGTATAGCCTGAGGTATCGAAACAGACGAATGTGGGAAAGCAACGTATGGAATTGGTAGAACATCCACTACCGGATCAGACTCCACTAGATGAGGAAAAAAATGGAGAAGACTCAAAGAACGTACCATCAGCAGAGATGAATAGCGATGTGTGGCGGGAGAATAACACTTGTAGCCCTTCTGAAGACGTGAATACCCTAAGAAAATACTTTCGTAGACTTGGCTGACAGTTTATCCTGACCAGGAGAAATGTGAACAAAACATTGCTCCCAAAGACACGCGGGGAAGAGAAAATAATGGAGAATCAGGAATAATATGGAGTGGGGAACCTGATCTGTAAGAAAAGAAGGCAGCGATTATTAAGTAACAGGCGGTTAGAACCGCGTCACCCAAAACCGAAAGGGACGTGGCTATGTAAAAAAGAGTGCAAGCAGTTTCAATGAGGTGTCTATTTTTACGCTCAGCAATGCCATTCTGTTGGGGACTATAAGCACAAGAAGACTGATGAAGAATTCCCTGAGATGTCATGAATTTAGTAAAGAATCAGAGAAATATTCACGACATTATCACTTCGTAATTACGAATGGTGTATTGTGTTGAGTCTTAATTTCAGCACAAATGATGAAAATATGGAAAA